CGATGGCCTCATCCAGGCACAGCAAACATTTGAACACAGTCATGTTGTCATTCAAAGGCACTCGGAGGATGTTCATGCTGGCAATCGATGCCGCCGGCAGTGTCCAATTCCCATTCGCCAGTCTGACCATTCGCCTCAAAGATCGAGATGTGGTCAGTGAGTTGGCGGTTGAAATATTTCGCCAATACCACTTGCTGCTGGCTGGTGCCATTCATCACCCAGAGACGGGTGGCATCAGTCTTCATCCGTCTGAAGACCACGAAGGGCTCTGCAGTCCCGTTCGGCTGGTAGACATTCTGGTTCGTCCAGTAGTCTTCCTCAATGCGCTCAGTGCATCGAGGCTGCCATTCAGCCGGCCGCAAGGATACCGGTTCAAATCCAACCAGCCATTCTCAAAGAACCCATTCGCCCGGCTCATTGGCAAGCAAACCCAGTCATACACTCGGTGCAGTCAGGCTGTCAGTGGCATTGGCATTCCCCTTGGCATAGGAAGCTTCTTCCAGGAGATGTGCCAATTCCCCTTGGTGAACAGTGCGGAGCATTCTCTCAGCCTCGGTCATTGCATACCAGGCAGTCTTTCATCATGTGTGGCGCGACTGCTACTTTCACCTTGATGATGCTTCTTCTCCTGTCGATGGATTGTTGAGTGAATGCTGGTGGGGTGCTGGGTACACAATGTTCTTGGACCCAAGTGGCCCAGCAATGGTCGATTCTGGCCATCAAAATGATTGGGCTGACATTCAGATGCCCGATGGCTCAGCGGAGAAATGTGAGTACCCTCGAGTCCCACTGGTCACAACTGGGTCGGTTATACATTGTTTGTTCCTCTGGGTCGCCCGACTGCGGTAAAGCCGAAAATGTTGAAGGTTCTCGGCGAACCTTCAGAGAGTGAACGGCAGTTGCACGAATTGACACACCTGCCCTACAGGAACTGGTGTGAACATAGTGTGCAGTCGACAGGTCGCCAGAAGCATGCGGCTAAGAAGAATGGCAGGCAACCTGTGATTCAGATTGATTTCTCCAACCTGGCGACGGAGAGTGACCTGCCGAAGAGGACCATCGTGAATGCAACGGATGCGCAGACTGACTACTCAATGGCTGTGGTGTTGCTCGCTAAAGGCAGCACTGAGAAATATGCCGTAGTCGAAAGGTGCAGGTTTTGTGTTCGACATTGGTAGGACTTTTGGGATTGTCCAACATGATAAGGAGCATTCTCTGAAGTCGACTGCCAAAGATGTGCGCAAGACTGTCGGAGGATTGTCGATGCGCGCAGCAGCGACTGGACACTCCCAAAGCCAAGGAAGTGTTGGGAATGCGCAGAGAGCCCTCTATGGGCAACTGAGAACACTGATGGATCAGGTTGAGGCATCGACTGGATTGAAGTTGACCTCGGAATCGCCAATGTGCACCTGGGTTGTTAAGCATGCACAATGGCTGATCAATCGTTGCCTGATTAGTTCTGATGGCAAGACTGCCTATAAGTAAATGTGGTCACGTGACTACCGCCGCACTGCAAGAAAATGAAGATTCCCAAAGAAGGATCTCAATGGTTCTCTGGAGTGTACCTTGGAAAGGACACTGAAGCTGATGAGGTTATCGTTGGGAATGCTAACAAGGCGCGGACTGTGAAGCGGAGACTTCCGTCTCAACAATGGAATGCCGCCGGCATCATCATATTGGCATCCCTGCCGTGGCAACCTAAAGGAGATGGAGTGGATTCGACTGTTTTTGTGATGCCGCCTGATCTTGTGCGTGAGAATGATGGCACAGATCACGCGCCCACTGCTATTGAGCATGAGACCCCGGAGATAGCGGACTGCACCCAGGAGCAGATTGATGAAGCAATTGAGTGTCGATGGGTCAAAGTCTGGAAGGAGAATGAACTAAGTAAGGTGCAGAGTGGTTGTGAGTGGGTGCTTTTAGAATGTTGAGAAGAGTGCTGAAGAAGATAACCTGTTTGCTTCGACACCCTCGCTTGTCACAATGAGATTGTTGCTACGCATGGCAATGGCAAGAAACTGGGGCATCACCCTTGGTGATGTCAGCACTGCCTTCTGCATGCCTCAATGTTCGGTGAAGTGCTCGTTTGGCCGCCGAAGGAATTCTATCCAGACGGCATATGTCTCTGGAAACTGAAGACAGCAGTGGACGGTCTTCGACAGGCGCCCAAATTGTGGCAAGAACATGTTGCGGGGGTAGTTAATGACCTCGAAACTGGGATTCAGGAGATGCAGGAGTGATACGAATCTGTACTGTCATGAACCTGGCAAACTGCATGTGCTTGCATATGTCGCTGATCTGTTGGCCGTGGGGACTGACGAAATGAGGAAGTCGTTCATGTCTCAACTGTCTGAGGAAGTGCTGCTGAAAGAGACTGGCCAACTAGTGCCAGGGACTGAGCACACCTTCCTTGGAAGAAAGCTACGGACAAAATGGAAACTCGATTGATGTTTGCATGTCGCAGACATACATGATTCGATCCTGATTTGTACGGCATGAAGAATGCCAGGCCTGTTGCGACGACTGGCGCCGTGACGATTGTCAAAGCTGTGCCTGACACAGTGACAGCATTGATGAGGATTTCGGACGCGGAAACACATTGATCTCAATCCGCAGATCAGGTGACTCAGACAGTACCATCTCACAATCCCTTCGGAGCCGAATCGGCACTCTGCACTAGATCGAAAAACATTTCGGCAATCGGAGACATATCATTCGCATGCCCTCACACTCTCTTTCTTTGGCTTTGGGCTTTTCAGGGAAACCAACTGTGCACATGACAGCCATGACATGCAGTGCGATCGCTGCAGCCGAAGCGACTCACTCACAGAGTCCGTCGGCGTGGCCTTCAGTCCAACGGACTTCAGAAATGCAACACGCGCAGCGCATGCAATCCCGGGCAGGGAGCGCGCGAGGATGGGAACGGGCTGGGCGCACAGGCGGCCATTCCCAGTAGGGTGGTGGTCGGGGTGGTGGCGGCAACATGATCATCAGGATCATGAGCATGAGTGGCAGCATTATTCTTGAGCAAATTTGAAAACAATCCCAAGTGGGTTTTGAATCTTTGCAACACATCAGTGGCAACATATTGTGTCATTAGATCTGCTGCGGAATTCCGCGTGCCATCAACCTCGGCCATTGTAAGCAAACCCATTTGCACAAAATTCTGCACATACGGGAACCTCAGCTCCACATGCTTTGCGATCTTGCCAGTGCCGAAACGGGTTGCCATGATTTGCCAGCAGTTGAGCCCGTGTGGGCAATCACACTAACTTACTTCTCCAGCTTTGCTTCAGGCAATGTTGACCGAAGGATCAGTGCCTTGGGCAATCGCATACAACTCCGCTTCGCCAGACGACAAGGCCAGTCCACGCAGCGCTCACCATGTTGTGCAAGGACATTCACAGTGGATCCGCTAACGTTCTTCCGAGTCTTGGAGCATTCAGCCGGAAAGAATCCACGAAGACATTCACATCCAGGGCACCGGCACAGTTGCCATCAGACGACTGATAAGATGGACGCAGGCTCAAGAGACACATTTTGGTACCAATCAGATACCGCAACAAGTACTTATCAAGAAGTCATTCTCGAGTGGCCTGCCAGTCGTCTTCTCAAGCGAAAAGCAGGAATATCATTCAGAAGATTCGTGGCTTGCTTGCTTGCTTGCTAGGGGTATGAGCTCTCTCTCTCTCTCTCTACCAGGCTTGGGGGTCGGGGTGAGTCCTCCCCCTTCCCCCGCACGCGTACGCGCACCTGCTGGTCTTGGCAGGTTTTGTGGTCCCAAAGGGGGTTTCCCCCACTGGGCTCGGCTGTACAAAGCCTCTGCACCGAGTGCCCCGTCGAAACCACAGCACATCACTAACACGTTCAACCCTCATAGGCACTCCCTGCACTTCGGTGCTAGCAGTCTGGCTGAGTGCCCGGCCTGGTCGAAAACAACAGAGTGAGCATGCACACCGAAAGAGCACAAGCTTGTATGGCTTGGGCTCCCCCCTGTGACTGCTTGGAGGCATGCTAGTATACTACTTGCTCTCTGCCCCCTGGTGGAATGCCAACCGACAGCACTTAAGATTACCATGAGAAGAGGTATGTTTCCCCCAGGGCAACTTTGAGCACTGTGCGAATCTACGTATGCATGTCATGCTGAGTGGGTCCCCCTTCCTACGCGGGTAAGTGCAAAGCAACACCATCACATGATGCCAATGAGGACAACAGCTTGAAACTCACAGGATTCCCCGCTCTGCATATGGCATGCCTACTGTGGCAACTTTCATCCCTTCTTGTTGGCCTGTGTGGGTAGGGTAAGGGTATGAGCTCTCTCTCTCTCTCTCTCTATCTCCCGGGTATAGGGACGTGTCACCGTCCCCGGGCAATTTGCCCACCCGATCATGTTGATCGGGTTGCATGGGGAGTGAGGAGCGAGCATTAATCATCCAGGGGTATGAGCTCTCGCTCTCTCTCTCTCTCTCTCTCTCTCTCTCTCTGGCATTGAGAAGTGCTTGTGGAGTCGACGCCAAGTCTCAAATCCATTCTCTGTGTCCTCATTGTGAACAATCGCTCTTGCTGCACCATCAGTGGCTTGTGCCAGATGTAGGCCAGTTTGCGTGAGAACAGTGACAACTGATTATTCTGCGTCGTTGTTTGCTGCGCATCAAACAAATGCTTCAAACAAATCATCACCAATCACTCGATTGGATCCATCATTTGTTTTTCAACGGGCTTGTACAGTCCAACATATCGCGACAGCTGCCATGCCCAGTCCTCCCACTTCTCCAAATCTCCGTGGTACACTGGAAGTGGGAGTAAATTGATTTCATGTCCGTTCTCTCACTCCCTGGTTCTGGAGCCGAAGCTCCGCTACCACGCAAAAGTCAAGACACAATTCAAACAATCACAACCAGCCGAGATCAGTCACTTTCCCCAAAGATACACTCACGCAGGCATTTCCTGTATGTGACCAAGCCGGTCTTTGTCAAGTCTTGAGCCAATGCCATTAAGCATCAGGGGAGGGGACGGGGGGGGGAGGGGAGGGGAGGGGAGGGGAGTTCAGAGGAGACGGTAGGGGCGGAAGGGAGAAGAGGGGAGGGAGGGGAGCAGCATGAACCAACTGTGTCTTCACCCCTCAAATCAATCCGCTGTGCACCAGAGCTTCGGTGATTCTGCGTCATCGCTCGAAGATTGCGTCGGGCAAGCATCTCCTTCCTAAGATGGTCTTTGGATGCTCACAATCTCTTCACATGTCAGTGCTGAGTTCATCGCCCAAGCATTGCACAGCTGATATCCATCCAAAAATATCCCAGGTGCTTGCCGGTCACATCAACCGAGCTCAGTATTCTTGGAAACATTTTTTCCTCCGACAACATCATGCAATGGCAGAGCGGTGGAAAAGCTCACGAGGTCTATTCAAGTGCGGGCAGGAAATAGTAAACACGCCAACCTACTCAGCAATGCACCTCGTGGCCATGTGCCTTCACCGCCAAAACTGGCACTTCACAGTTCAGCGCCTGGCGAAGTGCTCTGACAAATCCCAATTCTGGTTTGGTCGTGCATCGTCAGCCGATGTAAACTCTTGGGCGAATGTAAACAATTTTGGAAAATCTGGTAAGTGTCTCGAAACGAATCCAACGACTCCACAAAACCTGCATACGTCTCAAAGAAGCTTGGCCGCTTCAACTCCTCGTTTCTCCGAAACTTGTTCTGCTGTTCGCTCTTCCTGAAGGAATAGGGAAAGGAATTGCGGAATGGCTAGGACATACTAGGGCAAGACTTGTTCGACGCTCGTTTCAAATCTTGTTCAGTTTATCTTTGCTGTGGAACTCGACTTCACGAGGCTCGTCTGGAGCCGACCAGGACTCTGCAGAGAAGGCTTTTGTGGACGGGCCGCACAGAGAACGTATGTTTGCGGGCTTGTCGCAGGGAGGGATGCCTTTACTGCATCAACCCAGCAGATCCCACAAGCAGACCACCACGGCCTCGTTGAACTTCACACACCGCGGCGTCCGACAGCTTTTCGCTGAGGAGCCCGAGGAGCCAGGCGAAGCGAAGGCAAAGTCAATGACCTGGCTGGGCCACACTTCTTGCAGCATCTTTCAGCGTCGGCTTCATTTGCTCTTTGATGCTCTTTGCGCCTCTGGAGAACCAGCTCTGGCAGACATGCGGCCTCTCCTGCACAGTCTGGATTGAAACAAAGCACCTCGTCTGAAGCTACCTACTCCAACAAACACGGCCTCAGAAACAGTCTACAAATTTGGACCGGGTGTGAAGAGTCTGGGAGAAGACCACTCTACGAGCAGGGCTATGCAGCTGGCTTAACTTAACAATATACACCAGCCGCTCTGGAACTCGTGCTGCCTCTGTAGCCCTAGACCACGCATCTCAAGATCTCCCGAAGAGGACACTGGCTCAAACCATGGCAGCATCTGCAGTCCTGTGGATGACGCTTCGGGCCGGTCTCTTCTTATCAGGCGATAGCGGCCGCAGGGATTTGCATGCCTCGCTCATGCTTGTGATTACTCGCGCGTGTGGGCATCCCAAAAGTCTGAGCTGATGGCGGCATCTCCCTTGTGATCATCAGCGAGGTTTCGGAGAGAGGCTGGCAACCTCCACAGACAGCGAGTCGTCGACCCAGGTCATCCCACCAACTCCACAACGCAACGACAAGAGCCAGGGACGACCACGTTCCAGCAACAATTCTAAACATGACAATGCCCCACCCACGACTCGCCGACCTCAGCTCAGCCGAGCTTTCTCTGAAGCATCTCGCCGTGAGCCGCCACTTCAGGTTCCTTTGGCTAGGCAAGAGGCCGGAAGTGCAACGACAGTGCATCGGTTTCTGGCTAGGCACTGAAGGCGCGCGCAGTGAACGGAGCCCAGGTCTGCCGAACGCGAATGACCGTGAGGCACCTTGCTGGACCAAGGATGCCTTTGAAGAGCCATTGAACCAAGCTTGTGACATCCTGTGACGCTGTTCCCGCAAACTGAAGCAGCAAACAAAGGCTGTTAAGCAACAGATGAAACCGGGGTCTAGTATGCCCGAGCACGAGGAGCTTGAGTCGCTCTGCACAGCGGCAGTTTTCTCCAGGGTGGTGCAACTTTCCTTGGCCCCGGAACCACGGAAGATGCACGGCAGGGCTGCCTGGCTACCAAGAACCACAGAAGCAGTGCTGAGCCAGATGCGTGGGCACGGGTGCGGAATTGGTCGGTCCAGCAGATCAGTCATGTGGCCTCACAGAAGCACGACAGCATCCAGTCACGGATTCACAGGTTGGCATGGGCAGTGTGCGATTCATCTCTGCCGATAAACTGCTAAACCTGACATTGTGGCAGGCACGTAGCACCAACGGGACAGGGACTTCTGCGTCCGTAAGTCCCTCCGAATCCACATCGGAGAATGTTCACGCAGGACCCAACATACTTGCGGGTATGCTGTGCGATGTGCAGGTTTGCATGGCCCCTGCGCAAGGAAACTCGTGTTACGTGCAGGTGAGCAAGGCCCTGCGCAAGGATGAGGCTCAAGTTCGATGTGCCAAAGGTGATGGGGTTTCGTTTTTGAGGTTCTGATTCGGATGAGCCTTGAGGCCCCGGGATGGCTAGCGATTACAATCATCTTGACGATCTTCCGATGCAGATTATGAGAAATCTTTCGAGTCCTGTTCCATCACATTTCAGTCTTGTTACCGCTACGCCATCTCCAAACCTGGTTCACAACCAAGAATACTGAATGGAGACGTTGACAGGTGTGAGTCAGGCTCACAGCTGCTGTGAACGCCAAGATCGCACAGGCCTCTGAATCACTGAATGACGTTCGACTCCCCTCCCTTCCTGCACTGTGCTGAGAAGCTCGTCGCGCCTACCCGGCATTCAGCTCTCTACATGCCATTCACATCGCAGCTCGAGGATGCATCGACACGACAAGTCCTGAGAACCTAGTCAATAGTTTTGCTCTGAACCACCAAAGGCGGGCCTCCTCGAGCACCCAGGCTCGAAGCCACCAACTTTGTGCCATGCACTGAGCCAAACGGTCTACGGCCACAGACTACTACAACTCGATTGCAACATATAAGTCTGAGCATGCAATGCGGGATCGCTGTGACCGCAGCTGCCTGTACTTAGTAGACGCAGGCCTCTGCTGCAGTGTCTTTCTGCCCCGGGACCGTGCTAGCGACAAGGACTTGCCTGAGTTTTACTGCCGCCCCGGCGCGGATCAAAGGTTTGCAGAAAAAGACAGACCAGAAGATGTGCCAACGAATCCACCGGCCCCAGCAACCGGCAAGCAGCTCTGCCATAGGCCAAGTTGCCATCGGCTAGCCAAGTAGAAGGCCCCCAGGGCGGAGACGTGACTTACCTTTCTCAGCGAAAAGCAATGCTGCTCCATCGCCCCGACATCAGCCAAGATGCGATATCTGCCTCCAGTGCTGCCGCAGCCAGCAGCGCCTGAAGCCTTGCGGAGCATTGCACCGCATTTCAACGAAGAACACCATGCTCTCCATCCACGCTGCCTCAATGCCAACCGCCAAGCTCGGGCAGTCCGGGCTGCGTCCTCTGAGATCGTGGGGATTGCTGGCCATTCACCAGAAAAACTGAACTATGCGCTGGCCAGCTTTGAGTGCCGGTCCAGAACAGCATTGAAGCTCACCTGGGATTCGTCAGAAGATGGACGTCGACCCCACGAACAGACAAGCTGGAGAATCTGAGCAGCGCTCGCGCGAGATGGGTCTGCAGTCGGGCCACGATGTTCTGTTGCAGCTGCTCCGCCCCAAACAGCTCATTCAACAAGGCGAGTGCGTGCTGCCACCGCAAGGCTTTTGCACAAACCTCATCACCAGCACAGGTGCTTCCCTGTAAGAGCCCGATGCAAGCAAAAAGCCATGTGGTGCTAAAGCCGCGGGACATTGATCAGCTCATTGGCGCAAAAAGCATCCACAACACTATCGCGCCTGGCTGCGCCTGCATCAAAAGACAGCTCCCTTACACACTCGCTCGACGTGCCTTGCTCCAAAACAAATGCCCCCATCGCTTCGTTGTCGAGACGAGCCCGGTATGCTCGGAAGTGCGAACCCTTGAACCCCGAGCCTAGGAGCTGTAGAGCCTGCTGCCAAGGCTTCGGCGTCTGCTGCCAATCGACTCTTCCGCAAAGGTTCAGCAAGGATGCATATGCATGAGCACCTGCGACGGGTGCTTTGCAGATGCCATGCGCAAGCGCATACCTCGGGCCGAGAAAAACTGTGGCTGGGCGCTTCGTCGCGAATTCGGCTGCATGAGGAGCTGAATGGCTGCATCCCAGCCATTGGCAAAAGCATCCAATGCCTCAACACACGACGCATGAATGTGACCTCGTGCTGTCACACATGTAAAGCATGGCAAGCCAAAGGCATTAGCATGTGCGATGCCGCCCACTCCGCACACCGTGCGCCCCGTTGCTGAAGTGTGTTGTGCACTCGACGTTGACACCTCGTCCAGCAACACTAGTCACCGGAAGATTTCTCCAATAGCATTCTGTTCTTCCGCCCTGTCCCGACGCGAGTCCGCTGTTTTCATAGACTCGTGGACCCACCTTGCGCGGCACCCCCGCGCGCACGCGAAAGCAGCCGGGGGTTGCCGTGAAAAGGCACCAGACAAAGAACGAGCGTCGACATCGCAACCACAACTTAAAAGAGCGACTTATGTTGCAGCGGGTTTCTGCGGGCGACTCGAAGAGTGCTTGCTAAGCTGAATCTAAGAAATGAAAGTGCTGAACGTCTGCTGATACTACCATTGTCTGTCATTGACATTCGAAATCTTTTATCACAGCGGGGTACCAGGCAAGGGGGGCCAAGGGGAGTCTACAAAGTCTTGTTTCGTCTACAAGAATTTCCAGAGGTTTGGAGCATCACTCGCCTAGGTCTTGTACGGGCGGCATCTACTCCCGGTGCGTCATTACTTTGCGTCCATGAGCAGTGATGCAGGAGTCGTCACTGTGGATGACCAGACATGCCAAACCTTCCTGGCCGCGCCTGTCGCTTGGATTGCTCGGCCCTCACCCTGCCCCGAAACTGAACTGTTGTCCAAGGAGCACTTGCATAACTAGTCTCATCGGGCACCAGTGCAACCTGCAGGGTACGTTGCCTCAATAGCACCGCGACGTTCAAGGCCTAAAACCCTGCCGGTTTCCAGAATTAGCAGGCACTCAAGATGGGGTGGCATCCTAATCAAAAGCACGCCGAAGTTGCAAAAGGTGAACCGACAGCTGCCAGTCGAAGCCCATCGTGCCCTCAGGGGTTTGGACAGGCCAAGAAATTCAATCCTTCAATTCCAAAGGGCTGGAGTATCGGGACGTCCTGACCGCGACAGAACAGATGCCTGACGACTGCAATGCCATCAACAACCGAATTCTAGAGATGCTGTCGGCTTGGACATGGCATGTAGCCGCACTTTGCAGCAGATCTTTGGGGAATTCCACATTAAAGTACCAATGCCCCTTTCTCCTAACCCATCGGTTCCTCCACAATGTGTGCAGCAAACAGACAAGGACAGAGAGGAGGCCCAAGCACGCTTAGCACACAGAGAAGCAGCAGCGGCAAGGGTGAACTCAGATGTACGTTCTTGACAGCATCACCCAATATCCCTTTGTAGTGTTATAGTCTTTTCAGCTCATGACTCATGCCATCCGAAAAACATGCCCGAAACAGCTCCATGAACAAGAAGCGCGAAAGCACGTCACCAAGTCAATTCATGATGGCCATGCTTCCTTGAACAGGCCGCGGCTATGCAGGGCTGCATCGCTTCGGACTGCGCGAAGGTAGAAGCTGGCTAACAGCTGGACCTGGGAGATTCGAGATTCTGCACATGACTGGACACCTGCCACCCTGTCCGATGCCGAACACATGCCGCCGTGCCACCGTCTGCTCCCATACCTGATGTGCGAATGGACGGACTGCTTTGCCTTCCACGAGCGAAACTTCGGCAATGTGCTTCAGCTCCTCCCTGCTTCCACGCTGCTCGACTTCTTGTAGAAGCCCCAAGCATGGCATCGCAGCTTATGACGTCCTGGAATTGAATGTGTTAATTTCATTAAACCAATCAATTGCGGCCTCTTGTCTCAGCGACGGCTAGCACCTAGCAGACAGTAGGAAGCTCGTCCTGCTGCACCGCAGCTGCTGCGGACCTGGTCAACAAGGAAGAAGACGATGCCCAGCAACCAGATTCCTGCCTCGTGGAAAGAACACACCACAACATTGCAGTTTGAGAGACGCCATTTAAATCAAAGATTTTAAACACTGCATGAAATAAATTGAAAGCCATGTCCTCAGTGTAAGCAGGAAGCTAGAAGCAAACAGCGGACAGTAGATTGTAACGCATCATAGCAACAATCTCGCGCAAAGAGAAACTTGCCAATGCAAAGCGCACATCATATATGAACATGAACACAAGTTCTGTTTAATGATGCAGAAGGAGCTAGAGAACAAAGATAGACAGCACACCAAGAAAAAGGCACAGGTGTATGCAACATGCATACACGTGAATGCGCATGGAAGATAACTAGCAGTAGCACGAGTACGAGAGTGCTAGTACCAGTACTAGTACTAGTACTAGCAGCAGTAGTAGTAGAGGTGGTGGGTGGTGGTAGTAGTAGTTGTTGTTGTTGTAGCAGCAGTAGTAGTAGTAGTTGTTGTTGTTGTTGTTGTAGTTGTTGGTGTTGTTAGTAGTAGTAGTAGTAGTAGTACGTAGTAGTACGTAGTAGTAGTAGTAGTAGTAGTAGTAGTAGTAGCAGTAGCTGGTGTTGCTGTTGTAACAATAATCACAATAATGGCAGTAGTAAAAGTAACCGTCGTCGTGGTAATCGTAGTGCT